AATTGGATTTGTTTCAAGCAGTAATGTAGGGTTAAAAAACCTTCTAAAATCATTTATTTTTCACATTTTTAGTTGGTGGAAATACAGATTTCAGTCAAATGAGTTAAAATTTAAGTTTACCTGAATTTTTATCAAAAGTTGGAATTGTTACTATGGATTCAGTGAAAGAATTATCAAAAAATTCTTTAAAATTCATCTGAATTTTTCCACCATTTTGAATACAAAATTCTTTTACATCTTCCTTTTCCCAGGGTGAAAAATGCAGATATAGAGACAGAGTTACCTGCCCTTTAATTGCGTCTGATAATTGTGAAATTTCAAAATATCCTGTCAAAACAGTTTCATCTTTAGGGGCTAGGGTGCCATCAGAACATTGATCCCCTGGAACCAAGAGTTTTATTTTCTTCAGTGTTTGTTGTTCAGTGCTTTTGGAAGTTGCAGAGCTTCTAGTAGAGTTGATAGTATCATTGTCAAATTGTTTTGAAGAAGATTTGAAAATATTGAATGAATCTCCACAGGTTATGGATAAAGAAAGGTTGGATATGGAGCTTAAATGAGACAAAATAGTTTATTACATTAAAATAATCATTTTTTGTCAAGTTTGTCAGAGAATCAAAGCCAAGCTGCAGACTAAAATATCATTTTATTGGTCAATAACCATGTTGTCAGAACTAGAATTGCTGAAAAATCTCACAGAAAATAAATGAATAAATCTATCTAGACCGAAACATCTGTCTCTATACCAGCCTCTGATAGCTATTTGCTGGTGTAGAGACAGAAAAATAGGCACTGTTAAATGGAGTTTTAAACCTATTTATATAAATAGGGTCTATAAAACCCAGGTATATTTGGAAAGATGAATATTTTTGTAGTTCAGTCATACCATCATTTTCTCCCTACACCATGTCTCCAGTTCCTTCAAATTTTTTGTTGGTGAAACTGATCTAGCATCGGCCATTTAAAACTGTGTGCGCAGCCAAAAGTTTAAAGGACACAGAGTCACTTGATACTTACAAAACGAAAGTTACGGTGATGCCCAACACTAATTTACAGTCATCGTAAAGGTGTTTTAATATTATGTTAGAGAAAACGCATCTTTGGAGTTGTGGAAAATCCCCATTTAACAGGGTCTTTTTCTTCTGACTCTACTCCAACTGTCAAAATACCGATCAGAAGCTGGAATAGAGGCAGATGTTTCGGACTAAAATCTATCTAGAGCTGTTTATGATTAGACGGAAGCAAGGAACCTACAATGCACCTACTGTGAGGATGTGTTGATAACGTGAAGACCCATAACTAAACAATCATTAATTACTTTATACCATTTCTTTTTTATTTCCACCTTAAATATCTC